GTTTTTTGTTCAATAATGATCATTTTTCTGAAAATTTCAACTACTATTGTAAAAAGCTGTGCTGCTTGCATAGTTATATTATATATAATACAAGTTTTGCATCAATGATTCTTTCAATCATATTTTTCAAAATGTTACCAGATTCTTACAAGAAAAAATTGAACATGTGTTATGCGCATGTACTTTTATTATAATATACAGACTACTCGAAACATCTAGCCACATTTAGGAAACAAATCTAAAGAGGTAAGTGTAGAGAAACTAAAATGCAGAATGATACACTCTGAAATACCTGTTTAAAAACTGATGAATCCTGCAATATAAAGTGTATGTACAAACAAGCAACCTTGCTTAATTCAATAGAGAAACAAAACTGCCAAAAGGCTCATAATCAACAGAAATACCAATGCAAAATTCTGCAGTGGCAGATGCTAACATTATCAGCTGCTCGCTTCTTATAATATCAATCATTTATATTGTCTTCATCTTCGTCTTCACTATCTTTGGCATCAAAGTATATAGTTGGCTCGTTGAACATGTAGTTTTAATTATGATTGGCATGGAGGTAACGCTTCAGGTTCCACCTTGCCACCTGTTGCACAATGCAGTTGGTATCTCAGTGAATTTACATTTATCATCTTCTTCCCATACATTTCACATACCTTTCTTCTATGCTTGCATATGTGTCATCTGCAACATTCCACCTATTTCCAATCTCCTTCAAAGCTTCAACATACTTTGGTGTTCTCAAGACCAGTTTAAAAGGTTTCAGTTTCCCTTTTCCACAGAAACTGAAACTGTGTCACATCCAGTGATTGCATGAAGACCATTGAGGGATTTCAGCAAATCTTTGACATTCACTTCCTTGCAGGTGCTCTTTATCTTATTAATGATTTCATCGATTTGGATTATCCGTTGTCTTGTTCCTTTACCAACTTTCATGAACATTTTATGCTACTACTGTGCGCGAGTAACAGAATAAATACATCACTGTCATCTGCATGGATAACAATTGGTCTCATTGTTTGTGATGCATGCTTGGCATGTAGAATGATTCTGGTGTCTGCCTCTTCATGTGTAGATGTTAGCTCTGGAACACGCTCTCCTCCAGTCGCACACAGTTTCAAACATGCAGTACCAGACGTTGTGAACATCACTCTATCTCCAAATTTCTCCAAGAATTCCTCTGTTTGCCATTGTGAGAACAGAAATTTAATCACTTCAGTCTTATTAGAGGAGTGTTGTAGGAAGTGATGCCACGACTTAATTTGATATCCTGGAAGTATATTGTACCTGATGTTAGGTTTGTGTTGTTGGATCTCTTCCCTCTCTCTGCATTCTTGATTTTTTATAGACATCAAATACCAAGTCAACTCTGTTACGTGGATTGCTCATCACAATGTCAAAAATCATGGTATGTGGCACCTGCTGGAGGCCTAAACTTCTGTAGAACAGCCATACCACCATATATACACACATCATTCTCAGGATATCTCTCTAGTATAGGAAAATCCTTCTCAAGATGATTTAAAAGCTTGGCCTTGTTAGTTTTCCTCGGCAGACTGTAGGCATCAGCCAAAGACCAAGGCAGCGGTCCAAGTGGGAAAGTGAAGACTGTTTTAAAGTCAATTTTCCGGTATTGACTCAACAATGCCATTCTAGCAAACAGAGTTCGATCCAACTTCAGTGGAAGTATTTTACTTTTGGTTGCCACTTTAACTCTGTGTGTTACATCTTTGAACGTTTTTAGTTTTAGCTTTCAGAGTGGAGCAAAGAATTCAACTGTAGGATCAAATGAACAACGGTTGCTGATAAAATTCTTGCATGCATCCAGTCCATACCTTTTGCATTGAGTAAGTGGTCAAGAACACTTCCTGATGCTTCAATTCCAGTGAATAAACTTGTTAACTGTCCACCTATCCATGGATTGCGTAATACCTCTTCGAGAACATCCACTACACGTTCTACAGCTTCATATCATTCTGGATATGTGATGGGGCTAGTTCTTGTGAACATATGTCTGTGGTTTAATTGCTAGCT